ATTATTATTATTATTATTATTATTATTATCATCATTACCATTATTAATATTCCTACTGCCATTATAGTTATTAAATATGAGGCTTTTGGGACCCTAACATATGCCAGTATAATGGAGGCCAATTTGTATATAAAATAAACGCTCGGTAATCCGGTTACAGTTAATCTGGATTGAAATGTGAAAAAAAAATTGTTCACAGTTGAGTACATACTTTAAAAGACACATGGAATTTAGGAGCAAGATGGATTAGAGCAAGGGGACTTTCAGACTGTGTTGAGGGCAGCTGGAGAGACTGAAATTATGCAAGAAAATATGCAAGATTGACTTGATCTGGGTGAGGGAGACCTGGATTTCAGCTTCTGATAGAGGAAGAAATAGCTGCAGTGATATTTATTTTTATCTACATTACCAATATTATCAAAATTTCCAATTATTTGTTTGTTCAGGTTTATTTTTTGCTTCATTTATCCACATTATCGCTTAATCTGGATGACATCCCCGCAAACTAATGCAGATTAGCAAGTGTTTACTGTATTTACTTTGTTATTTACAAACATGTCTCTTTGTATCTTCCAACAGGAAGTTGAAGCACTGCATGACTGACAGGCAGACCAAGCAGCAGAAGCTGAAACTCACAAGATGGCCTCATCCACGATAATGGCTGAGATACTGCACAGTGTGGAGAACTTCACAAATTACACTGATATATGTGGAAATAACAACAGATTCCACTGGCCAGACTATGCTATATTAGTAGTAATGTTGGTAGTTTCCGCTAGCATAGGTCTATTCTATGGGTACTTTGGCCCAAAGCAAAAGACAGCAAGTGATTTCTTGCTGGGAGGAAGTTCAATGGGCACATTTCCAATGGCAATGTCATTAGCATCCAGGTTAGTCAGAACTGCAATATATTTTCCATACATATTACATATATTTTCAGTGTTCTTGTTCCAGAGTTGTTATTAACCTTTTAGGTTAAAGCTTTTACATCTCATATATTGCACTACTCCTGCTGAAAGAGGCAGGATGCCTGTCTTCAGTCACAGATATAGACCATTGCATCATCACCACAAAATTACTGGAGCCTATTTTAAACACACTTCCCATGTTCATACACCGGTGGGAAATTCAAATGTAGGAGTACATACATACACAGGCCTTCTTTTCTGAAAGTGTGCCTGCACAAGGTGTGACGTGTCCCAATTCATAGACTTTAGGAAATATTAGTTAAGGATCAACTACAAAACCATAGACTTTGAAACAATCCTTCCAGTAGGACAGGCCCCCCTTTTTCTCTCTTCATGTTGAAGAATTCTTTTGTTTTGGGAAATTACTCCTCCTTTATGGAGTTCCCAGTATCATAGGCTCTATGGCTTTGAATGGTGCGGTTATGAATTGGAAAGAATGTGGAAGAAAGTTGTTGTGGTCTATCCGAGGCGTTAGCCTGGTGGGAGTAAGGAAAACCACTGAAAACCTCAATCAGGATAGCCGGTGCCCCGACCTAGATTCGAACCGACAACCCCCCGAATACGAGCATAGAGACGCCAACCCGGAATCCCTGTCTTAAACAATTATTTCTTCTGTGATGATTTCACTGGCTGCACATGCATTTTGAGAAAGCGTCTGTGGATACATCTGTATTTCAAACAATTCTTGAGAAGTCGGTTACTCTGCCTTGTAGAAGGAGGCGACCCCAGGGGGCTCTCGACCCACAGTTAGAGAGATAATGGTCTGTATACTGACAGCATCGTTAAATCCTCTTGCCTTAAATGAGGATTTGCACAAATCAGAAAAGTGAACGAAACATAAACAAATTTAGGATTCGTGTGTTAGAACACTGGCCTCCTCTGTGGTCTAATGGTCAGAGGTCCGGGTTCGATTCCCAGCGCCACCAGATTTTCTGAGAAGTATTGGGTCTGAAACGGGGTACACTCAGCCTCGTGAGAATAACAGAGGAATCACTTAAATGGAAAAGTAGCGGTTCCGATCTAGAAAACCGAAATTAACGGCCATGTGGATTCGTTGCTCTGACCACGCGTCACCCTCTATTCGCTAAAGTTGGCATTAACTTTGCCGATAAGCGGCGGTCGCTCGGTCGGTATTATTCGCTTGTTGACTAAAACCACGGAGTTTGTTTTTTGTTTGTGTTAGAACACCACGTAGCAGCACAGTACTTACGCAACAACATTCAGGTTTGAAAGCAAAACATTTATCACATAAAAAGCTGCTCTGATAGAAGCTACGTGCCACCGTTTCCCACTCAGTAGAGTGACTAGGCTCATTCCCGGTTGAAGCAAAAACTTCTTTCTTAACAATCGTGTCTTAGCAGTTCAACCAGCCTCCTTTCCAAATCAAACGGGAAACTATTTCCCCGGCGGCAGTGCAGTCGGGGCGTGAAACCCGGCCATCTAGTGCAGAAGTCAAGAATGCGTAGGCCTCTCCATTTATGTCTTCATGGCGTGGTACTTAAGCATAGGGATAACTTTTTCTTGTACTGTTCATAACTGCGTAATATTAAAACAAAAGCCTTATTATATTAGCTAGCACAGAAAATGGTCTAGAAGTAACTACAAACAAAAGCAAAAATGCCGAACTACTGTATATCATGGCCTCCTGCATTTCCAGCCACATCGGTCGGTACATGGCCTATTCTTCTCCTGTTTCATCATCTTCTACTGCAGCAACGAATGGATCGATGTTCCTTTTAGAGTCTAATCGAATTCTTTGTTCCACCACTTTTTTTTTTAGTTTGCCCTAGACCACGCCTTCCTTTCGTGCTGAAATTGTATGCTTGTTCCGGTAAACATTCAGGGATTATCCTTTCCTACATGTTTCTTACAGTTCCTTCGTATTGTCTGATTTATTTTAATAGTATACATACTGTTACCAAACGTTCTCTTATATCCTTGCATATCATTTTGTACCTCAGCGTAACTTCTAACACCAACCTCAGAAACTTCATTGGAGTTAATTCTGGATCTGAGGTTCTTGCAGCGGTGACTATGAAGGGTACTATGTTTTCGGATTCGGAAGTGACGCTGTGCAGTCCAGTAGAAATTAATTCAGTTTTTTATTTATCCTTTTTTTTTTTGGAACTATTGACATAGGATGTCTTATACACAAATCTAACAGCATCAAAAATATTTCAGCTATGTTCCTTCATACTGCCACGCAATAGAGACACACCAGCCTTTCGGAAGAACGCACTGCCTTCTCTTTAGCACTATACGTCTATGCCCAATAAGCAAGAACCTATCAGCCAACTGAGCCAAATGTTTATCTAAGTTTCTTGCGTTGTACTGGTATAGCATGGTTTTCTTTCACAGATGGCAGCAGGTACTGGTAGAGGTGTTGTGGTAAATTGAACCGTGTTGAAGGATTCTGTTTGCTATGGACTATGAATGAATGAATGAAACTATTAAATGCCAGTAACACTGCCAGAAATATCGGGGACAGTGAGGAAAATTACATGACACACAACTAAATACAGAAAATTTGAGGATGAGTACTGTTGCTCAGAAAAATTAAAATTGCTTATAACCACAGGTCATGAAAGACGCGCCATAGATCAGTTGGTATAATTATGGGGTAATGGCTGAACGGCCGGGGTTCGATTCCCGGCAGGGATAAGTTTTTTTTTCTCTCCATAGCCTTCAGACCTGTGAGCCGGGGTAGTGCAGTCGGTATAGCGACCGCCTACGGGCTGGACGACCGAGGGGTTGGAGTTTGAGTCCTAGTAGGATCAGAATTTTCTCTTCTCCATGTCGTCCAGACCGGCCCTGGAGGTTCCTGCCGTTTTCTCATTGAACTTGAAGATGGAGGTGATATGTTCCTCCAAAAAGTAGGGCTTTTTCCTAATTGCACAGTATTACAAATCAGTAGACTATACTCTCATAGACACTAGTGTGATAACCTCAGCACTTACACCATATGATTTAATTAGAATCACTGGAAGAATATCCACCTCCACAGTTCTTTGTTACTGATTTGATTGCAGTTTCATCACAGCCATTGAATTGCTGGGTAATCCAGCAGAAATGTATGTGTATGGGACACAGTTCTGGATGACATGTATTGCATTTATATTTGTGATTCCAATCACATCGCATTTGTATCTTCCTGTATACAGACACCTGAAGCTCACATCAGCATATGAGGTTAGTGTCAGCTTTCTATTGCCATTAACTCTTTAAAGCAATGTGGTAACTATATGTACCAGTTGCTTTATCATTAAAAATACTTTATATGTATGATAAAACATAGGTTGTCATAAAGGGATTTCTACCATTAGACATTAGGAGTAGACCAAAATATTTATGTAATTAAAATAAGTTTTGTTGTTAAAAATAATTAGATATTACCAGTTAAAATTGATTAGAAGTCTTGTTGTGTAAGAATATGAACATAATGATGGCCCTATTTTTCTGCTGTTGGTATGTATATCTGGTGTAGCTGGTCATATGTCCATCTGTATGATATTGTATGTTCTGGTGATGACTGTGGTAGTATGTGGGATGTACCTCAGTTCCCAGCTCTTTCCTCTCTCCTTCTAGTATCTCGATGAATCATTTTCTTCTGGGTCATTCTGTAGAGCTCTTCATTTTAAATTTTATTCAAGTACCCTTTTCAGCATCCTTGATTTATCACTTCTTTTTGCGTAGTCAAACCATTTTAAAATTTTCTTTTATAATTCTGTCGACAAGTACAAAGACAAAAACAGCTCCATCCAGTGTGACTATTTAAGTTTTACCACTTGAAAACTCAGCACCCTTACATGTTTCGATCCTTACGGATCATCTTCAGAGGGAACATCAATACTTATTCGGAAACCACTATCACAATAGTTGTTCTGAGTGCTAAATTACATACACACATAATGCCTGGAATACACAGTGTACACAATATTCAACTTTTCACGATCACAGCAGCCTTCCTGGTATTAAAACTTTTAAAGTTTTTTAAAAACTTTGTTGTTTAAGTTAAAATTTAAAACTTTGTAATTGTTAGTGTGATGGACCAGACTGAAACAATCAAATTCTGTTGACAAGTTTTGAATTCCAACTTTTTTTCTAAAAATTTAATTTCTAATTCAATCAATTGTTTCTTCGTCACTCATTCTCAGATAGCTAATGCCCACTGACAACATACTAAAGAGACAAAGTAATAATGAACTGTACTTATGCCTGCAGTATTTGGAGATGAGATTCAGTTCGCATGTCCGAACCTATGGAGCAGCAATGTACATGTTACAGATGATTCTCTACACATCAGTTGCAGTGTATGCACCTGCCTTAGCTTTGAGTCATGGTAAGTGTCTTAAATCATTCAGATCTGTTACAATATAATGATAACGTTGTGTTCTTATGCTGCATATTACATCATGTTAATGGTGTTTTCTATTGAATCTTCATTGATATATTTGCAGTAGTTAAGAAAACTTGGCTGTGAAAAGATGAAGATTATTGTTTAACAAAGCACTGTATTATTATCCTTATCCACTGAGAATATGTGTTCATCTTGCTATGGCTAGTAGCACTAGTTTTGAGGGGTCATACCTGTCTTATTGTACAGAATGTTCCACCACAAAATCACCAGACTTTGGAACCATATTCTACAAACCTTTTAAGCAAAAAATGCCCTGTGAATAATACAGTGTTCAATTCATCACCAATTATTAAGTAGTTTTTTAACACCACTAATGCATTAGTGTACTTTATTGGGCTGCGCTATAGCTCAAGCGGTTAGTCGCTGGCTTCCCACCATGGTGGCCCAGGTTCGATCCCGGGTCTGGTCAAGTGGGATTTGTGGTGGACAAAATGGCGCTGGGGCGGCTTTTCTCCGAGTACTTCGGTTTCCCCTGCCAATCCTCATTCCACCAAATTCTCAATCATAATCACCCGGGGCAGGCTTCAATAGGCCAATCAGTGGGCACCATGCTGAGTGGACCCAGTTGGACTCCACCCCCCACTAATCGAATTATATTGTACTTTATTGTATTGGTGTGTTTTTTCTACAGTTTGCAAAAGTATTAGTGAAGTGCCCTTCACATTTAAAGGGGAGGTATATGGTGGTAGGCATTTCATATACAGGTTGTACATCTGTACATGTTGCAGATCACTTAAGCTAATAATATCAGCTAGTAATATACATTACCATCTTAAATATGACAATTATTTTCTATCTGACATACTTTTTACCTTACTATGACATGTTTTGGCTGCATACAAACCATCATCAGGTATATGTGAATCCTGCTAAAGTTGTTTTACTGTATGTATTTTGTGTCACATGTCTATATTCAGTGTTAATATTTGAAATTACTCTTTGTAGAAATAATTAAAAGTTCATTAAAATATATATATAAAAAAAGTAAAGCTATCCCTGTAACAGGCCGTGAAGGCCCATAGGGTTGTGAGACATTAAGGGTCCCACATTACCTTGACAATCAGCTCAAAGATGGCAGTAAGGTTGTCAGTCTTATGCGCCGGCCATGCTTCACTCTCCAGGAAAATTATTTAATTAATTCCCGGTACTCATTTCTGTTAGAGGCTGAGTAAACCCCAGGGCCTAGTGCGGCCGGAAAGATTAGGTCAATTGAAAATAATCCAATGACCTCATCGGGACTTGAACCCGTGACCTTCCGGCTTGTAGCATAGTACCTTAACCACTATACTACCACATACCCCGTTCATTAAAATATATCCATTAAAATTCTGTTGGAATTCATTCATAATCTCCACACACAGGCAGCCAAAAATACAACCAACTCAAATGGGAGTTGCATCTAGACAAGCCATCACAGCACACACAACATGCAAATATATACACTGCATAGAAAACTACACACAGCTATATTAAGACACATAACATCCACACTGTGGCACTGAATGTAGGACAAGAGAATTTTAATTGATATATTTTAATAAATACTAAATACTTACATTGCTGTTTCATATGTAGTGAGTCCCCCCCAGCTAAAATTTTGCGAATGTTTCATGATTTACTGCTGCTTTATGATTTTGTTTTTCTTTCTGCAGTCACGGGGCTAAACACATACATTGCTGTATCTTGTATCTACGGTGTCTGCATTTTCTATGCCTCACAGGTACGATGATTTATATTACCTTTATTCAGTATAATCATTTTTCTTCTTATAAATTTTATATTTGTTTCACTTTCACTTGTGTCTGTTTTCCTTATTTTTATTGGCTGTTGCACTGTAGATATACAAAATGGAGAATATTCTTGCATAAATTATTCATATACCTTATGTTTGCTACTAGCTTAAAGGTCATTGAAATGGTATCTTGTTGCAGGATCAACATCACACTTGATCACGCTGTACTTCATTCATTATGATCCACTCTTGAACATTGTAGCCTTTGGCAACCAGTTTTAAATCACGATTCCTCCAGATATGCTGCTGTTAACTTTAAAATTTCTTGAAAAACAGCTGTATTTATAAATACCAAACTTGACAGAATGATAGCATGCACTAAGCTGTACTGCTGTCTGGAGGTATGCTGTAACTTTTTTTTTGAAGGTGGACACTGCAATACTGACTTAGCATACATTCCATTGCCATCTGTTGCTGTCATCTTATGTTTATATTTATAATTGTCATGAACTCCAAGCGTTGTGACAGAATAGCAACTGCTAACTTTTTGTACATGTGGAGTCAGTTCATCTGAGGTATCATTAATTTTATGCTGGGAGAATTTCAGTATAATTGTTACAAATTTTTATTTTTGCTAACTGTTTTTCTGTGTTGACAGGGAGGCATGAAAGCTGTCATGATAACAGACACTTTCCAAGCTGGTGTTTTGATTGGATCAATACTTGTAGTGCTGGGTTTGGGTGACTGGATGGCAGGAGGAGCAACATCTGTCTGGAATTATAACTCTTTCTCTGAGAGAATTGAATTGTTTAAGTAAGTGCGGATGTAAAAATCCTTACAACTCTGAAGTTGTATGTATTAGTTTCCTTGTTTTGTGTCATCAAAGGCCTTGAAACAATGTAATATTTATGCATATAATTTTATTTTTTAATTTCTAAGAAAAATATGACTTTATGTTCTCCACTTCTAATGCTTCAGTAATAATCTGGAAAACTGGAACATAGTTGTATAAATCAAGTACTTGCATATTCAGTGGCATGCAGTAGCATAGTTAGTTGAGGCACTATGCTACAAGCCGGAAGGTCGCGGGTTCAAGTCCTGATGACATCATTGGATTTTTTCAATTGACCTAATCCTTCCAGCTGCACTATGACCCTGGGATCGACTCAGCCTCTAACAGAAATGAGTACCAGGAGTATTCCTTTCCACCATCTATGAGCTGATTGTCTAGAAAATGTGGGAACCTCAACATCTCACAACCCTATGGGCCTCCACGGCCTGTTACAGGGATACCTTTATTTTTACTTTTACTTGTACATTCTGATGAGGTTCATCTATAAGACAGGATAGAAAAAAGTAAGGAAATTTTTGATAAAGATATTGTGAGATTTGGGATTCTGTGATGCCTTGTTATTAGATCCTTATCAATGATTCTGAGTAATGTGCTTAAGGACAGAAGAGTAAGCAAGGCATACAAAAAATATACAGGTAGAGTGCAAGGGAGAATTGGGACTGGGACTCTGAATGAACCAGTGGGGGTTATAAGGGCAATGTGAAGGATATTGGCCTCTACATTTCAGAGTACAGCAATCTCTATTAAATATATTGTCTAGAAGTATATGTAAAAGGGCATTATGCCTACTATCTGAATTCTGACAGAATTACAGTCTAAGAACTGTTGAAACCTTCTTTCAAAAAGGGGGAAAATAATATATAGGAACTATTTTTAAGATCAGGAAGCCAAATAATCATGTTGGTTGCAAGAAGAAAGTTCAAAAATATTTTCTGGCACTTTGCTGTGGCCCCTGCCTCACCTTGGTTTGCAAGATTCGTTCCTTCTTGTTGTGGTACTGTGTGACACATGGAGACAGACAAAAAGTAATTGAATTTGAAAGACAGATTCTTATAACTTGCAAATATTTTCATCTCATCATCCTTGAATGTGATTCACTGTTACCTCTCTACCACATGTGTACAAGTGAGATTGTCAGAATAGCAAAAATCCACTTCTGAACCCCAAGTGGGAAATTCTTGATCATCATTTGCAAACCAGGTGACTGTTTTGTACCCCGGATAAAATTATTATTCAGCTCACCCTTCTGTGTCAGTGTGAAACTTGGTCCATAAATATTGAATCCCATAATAAAGGCAACTTAACTCCTGCAGACTGATTTCATGTTGAGTGTCCATTATTCACAATGCCTGTATTTTTTGCAGGATGGATCCCAGTCCCACAGTGCGACATAGTTTCTGGTCAGTTGTGATTGGTGGGACATTCTACTGGTTGACCATGTTCTGTTCAAACCAAGCATCAGTACAGAAGTACCTCTCTGTGGAAACAATTTCACAAGCCAGACAGTAAGTTTCCTGTGTTTGCTTTGTGCTTTCAGTGTGAACACTTTCCTGCCACTCAAACGAACTGCCTCTACTAGAACAAAACCCGATTTCAGTATTCTAGCTCCACCAGTTCAACATGTATTTGACAGTACAGTATATCTTTCATTAACAAGGAATACCTGTATTACACTCTTTGGCTCAGAGACATAAACAGGAATTTTAACCCTTTGAAATTCAGTCATTAACAATACTGCAGCACCTGTTTTAACATATGATACAAAAACTAGATTTTGCCCCCAAAGCATATCTGTGAATTTTGTATGATTCTTAGAATAAATATCAACCATTTCCCTATTCACCATTAACCAGCTGTCTTCATAATAGTGATGCAACACATTTTGTGAGAGATATGAACAAAATTTGTAAATGGTGTTTAGATGATATTCATGTTTTGAACGGTATATGCCTGATAAAGATGTGTTGTAACTAAAACATAAAGTGTTAGAATTTTATATGTGAGGTGAGTTGAACTTTTGTCTAGCAATTTAATTGAGAATATATATTTTAAGTGTTTAAGAGATTTCAAGAGGGTTTGAGGAGCCAGAGATTGTCTTCAGCATTCAAGCCAACATTATGCTTTTGGAATAGTGCAGTATGAAATATTAAAGTCTACTACATGACTCAAGTTATGTTACTATTTTGTGCATGAATTCTGAAATTGACTGTGGCTAGATGATGGTGCACAGAAACATTTGTTGACTTATTTTCTTTTGGTGGGAGCCACCCACATTGAATTAACCACGAGCCAATCAGCGTGGACTATGGCAGTTCCAATGTCCATTGGTTTGTGTGCCTCCTAGTGACAACATATAAAAATGTGGACCTCCAACACGTTAGCAGCAAAGTATAAGAGGCTTAAACTTGGCAGCGGTCAGGCATATGACCGTTCAAGTAACTAGACTGCCATGGTGGCGAATACTACTAGAAATAGGGCATAGTCTGCTGTACTGAGCCTAGACTAACAGAGGCCTTGTATATATTATACATACTAGATATTAAGATTCAATTGTAAAGAAAAAAGTGTACATATTGACAATGGACTGATACTGTTGACTATGACTGACAAATGACAGACCCGACCTCTTGTCAGAGATGGTGCCCCACATGGACAGGACAGTAACTTTCACTTAAAAAGTAACATCTGGTCATGAGCCCCTGTTGGGGCTCGACACCAAGACAAACAGACTGATTGACTGACCGTCAGTTGCAACATGACTTTGACTCGTTAGCAGCAGTCGCAGCTATGACTGCATCAAGACAGCAGTAAAGAGTGAGTCTCCAAGGATCAGCACCATCAGGCTCACTCCTCACAGCAACAGCAAGTCTCCTGGCAGCAGCAGAGAGAGTTGCCTAGATCTACGGGAAGTTCACCACCCAACTGCTGGCCCACAATCACCAAGCTGCCACTCAAGGAAAACCACTGACCATAGCATAGGCTAGCCTGTTGTGACACAAGCTTCAGCTGCCATCCATCAGGCATGCCCGGCCTCAGATATATGGTCCTTTTCAGGGCCACGACCTGACTGATTATAGCACAGTCTGCTTTCCCGCACATCTGTATATTTTTACAGAAGTTTACATGGTTGTCTGTCCATGATACTAGATGTGACATCCCACACTTTGTTAAAATTCGTTGCTAGTGGTGCAGCAAACAGCAGTGAAGTTAACAAGGATTCGGTGAGATGTTAGACATTTGGAGCATCGTTGTCAAGCAAAAGTAAAATGTTATGCTGCTTTCTACAGAAATAAGAAGCACTACTTTAACATGAAGTTTTCTTGCATGTTTTCATATCCATTGGGCTCCTGTGAAACAAACAGTATGTATTCATCAAAAGTCTGAAGAGGGATCCAAATTTGGGGAAATTGTGACAAAGCAGGGGGACTGAATTTTGCTGTTTTAGTAAGACTGGATGAGGCTGTACTCCACTACACATGTTTTTTCTGACGATGTGTATTACTGTTCAAGTGGACTTGTAACCAAAACAGACTGCTGGATTCTGCAGAGAGCATCCATATCATTTTCATGAGAAAGTCAATTATACTGGAAAAAATTGCTTTAATTCAGTCAACCTGACTATATGAGATTTTATCTCAGAACATACAACTCTTCAACGCTTGTTGTAGTTTGCAGTCTTATTTCCACTGTCATGAGAATTTAAAAGTTATATAACATTTACTGCTTTATGCAAGATGGAGTCAGATGACACGTGGCTAGAAAGCTAGGAGCATCTGACACTTCCACTTGAAAGTTTCAACAATATATCTCACCATATTAGGGTAATTCTGACCCAACTATAACTTGTGTGTAGTGATAATTCTCTAGAAATGGGGTTAAATTCTCAGCTAGGGCAAGAAATTTTTCTCTTTGCAGCATCCAGACTGGCTCAGGGGCCTGCCCAGCCTGCTCAGTGCGTAGTAGAGGCAGTTTCCCCACGAGTAAAGTGGCCAGAGCATGAAGCTAACCACTCACCTCCATCTAGTGCAGAGGTTAGGAAAGCGTGGAGTTATACTTTTATTCCCTCACGATGTGGTGCTTAAATATTTATTATCATGAATTAATTATTAAGCACAGGGACAACTTTACCTTTTATTTTTTTTTTGTCCCTCACACAAGACTCATTTTAATTACACATTCATACTTCTGTTTCTAAGATTCTTTTAATGTTTTCAGAGCCTTGTGGGTGAGTTGTGCAGGCTTGATCTTGATCTTCACCATCAATTTCTACACAGGGATGATTATGTATGCTGCATACCATGACTGTGATCCACTTAAGAGTAATGTGAGTAACATGAAAGTACACCAACATAGGGTAATGCAATCATGTGGCTGTTCAGTAGGTAGAGTGGCACACTTTCAGTTGTGTCACATTTGAGGTTCTCACAGTAGTACGATGAAGAGTATTGTGTTCTGGGATGTAGTACAGCAGAAGTCCAGTCTTCTCAAAGAGTAAGCCAAGCAATTAGCAAAAAGAACAAGTCATGCACAAAAGACTTGGTTCAGGCATAGGCCTGGAAAGGGCCATACTTGGAAATATGAATTCTTTGGCATGCCTATATCCAAACTATTTTCCTATTCACAAATTCCTCTTTTTGCTGCTTCCTGGCTGTTTGCTTGGCTTGCTCTTTGACCCCAAAGGTGAAGGTAGTACATTCCTCTGAAACATTGAACAACAGACTACATGAGATTAGAACCCAAAAGTAAGCACTTTTCATTTTCTGCTGCTCCAACTTATGGCCTGTTTTGTAGCTAAAGTTTGAGGTTCTCATAGTGGTCACTATATTGTTGTGTATATTAATGACTATAGACAGGGCTTGGATTGAATCATTAGATTTATTAACACCTTATACAGTCAACTTATTCTTACAAGCAGTACAGTGCTATCGCTGATTTACACAATTCACTGTTACACATGCAGCTGGATTCTCAGGCTTCAGTAGTTATATCCTGTTAATGGAATTACTGTGACTAAATCTTCTAATCGCACACCAAGTCTTCACAGGCTGACTTCTAATTCTTCTTAAACTACTAATTTCCCAATGGCTATCTCCTATCAACAACTAACTCAGTTCTCATTCTTGTACTCTGCTGTACTCCATTCTACGTAGTTGTATTCCCACTTACTTGCAATAGGATGCTTGAATACAGAATTAGATCTGTGTTCTTCTCTATGGTATTTATGTTATGTCCCAAAAGATTTACAAGATCATCATAAAGCACAAACCCATACTGATGATTTCCAATGATTTTGTCTATTTATGGACTTCGCCTTGAGAGGAAATGAATCATTACATAAATTTTTAATAAATAAATTGCTGTAAACAAAGATAAAGTGAGGAAATACTCAGCAAACAGTAGACAAAGACGGTTAAATGTTAACTTGACACTTTGTGACTGTGATGGTAACATTTAGTGGAGACTGATGGAGTAATTCTGTGTCATTTACTTTTCAGGAGATTACAGCCCGTGACCAGCTCCTTCCTCTGTATGTAATGACCTACATGGGACATTTACAAGGAGTGCCTGGCTTGTTTGTAGCAGGAATATTCAGTGCATCTCTAGGGTATGTAGTTAATTTATCACAGCCATCACAGTACTGTTCTATGGCCATTACTTTTTATGTGTAAAGGAAACAACACCTCCCCCACTCCCCAAAGATTTCATTCTTCTAGCAAAATTACCTTCTCCTTATGTTTCTTGTCTTCTAAGAACCTTTACATTCCTGTCTCTTAATTGGTTTCTCCCTTTGTCTCTTTACATTCACCTTCTGCAGATCAGTTCCCACATCTTCCAGCCATCTCAGTCTGGACCCTCCCAGTTTTTCTTCTGCTTCTAGCTCACTTTAAAAAATGGTCTTACCCACATTTGTTTGATCCATTATAATCACATACCCCAACCACTTCAGTCTTCTTTTAAGAGCTGCTACCGAATCAGGAGTTTTATATAATTCCTTTGGTGCTAGGTTGGTTCTGATTATCAAAACCCCTTGCTTTGGTACTGATTCATATGTGATGCTTCACTACACACATTACAACTTGTTTTAACTTTGTTTTTCATGCTTTAATTGCTGATGCTCTACTTTCAGTTATAGACTTAAAAATGTATTGTAAACCATAATAAAACTGAAGAGTTCTGTCTTCTAGGGTGTAATGTTGTGTAGTCTGAAATGTCTGCTTGTTGCCTACTTCATGTTGGTTTCTTGCTTAGCATACTGTTTGACACTGAAGATGAATGTGATATGTTCCTCTAAAATGTCAGTTGACCTTTACTGGATTACATAGTATTACATCCCAGATGAACGAATTCTTCATACCTACTGTGAGAACCTTAAATCCAACATAAAAGCAATTGCCTGCAGCAGTTCTTAGTTAGCAGTCCTAAATAAAGTCAGCACATTGTATATGTAACCTTTCCTTAGTCATTTCCCTGAATTATCCATACAGTGTCTGTTGATGGGTTTCTTAAACACATTCTGTTTTATGAGATTAGATTTTCAGGGAGCCCCTATCTTTAGCTTATGCCACTTCTAGTGTAGGTATCCAGGTGATCAAGGCACAGAATATTCACAGGAGTGTGCTGAAAGTGGGCACAAATATGGATCATAAATTGTATTAACACTTCAAGAATTTGTTGTGGTCATCTGGGTTGCAACACTATGCAGTCTTGTAGGTGGATGTCAGTGGTCTACTCCAAAAAGAGACATCATTTTGTCTCTCAGGCACTAGCATCTGTCTATAAGACAGCATGTCCAACCTAGAAGACCAAAAAATGCAAATATGTGTTCTGTCACCAAATATACTTATGCTGGGCCTTGTGTTTCAAATTTCAGCACAGTGGCTTCAGCTCTGAACTCCTTGACAGCAGTGACAGTAAAAGATTTCCTCCATGGAGCACTTAAATGGGAACTTCCTGATGAGCAAGGAGCAAAAATAGGGAAATGGATTTCCCTTGCTTTTGGACTGCTCAGCTTTGGACTAGTTTTTGTGGTGGAACAGATGGGGAGTGTGCTTCAGGTAAGAAAACCAATCATTAAGGGATTACCTCAGTAGCAACATTCATGTCTATTGTTAAAATCTTGTCTTGGGGACAGACTTTCATCACTGTTTGAGATTATTCTCAAACGTTCCTGATGCATGCTATAATAGTAGTCTGAAATAGATTGGCTTTCAATGACCGTAGCATGGGCCATTTCCATCTTATTTTATACAAATAACCTCTTCAATCGTCACAGTATTCTTAGATCAGTCACTTACTCACCCTGATTAAAAATTAATTTTTCATTTGAATAAAGTGATAGTCCTAACAAGTTGACTGGGTACAGATGATAAGTTTGAACTCAGATTTCACAACAGTACATTTGCAATGGATGATGCAAGTATACATACATGCAGTCATGCACTATATCTTAATAAAATGTAACAGTGATCAGCTGCATCTGAGTACATAATTAAAAATATAGTATTACAATCTAGAAACAGTTGAATAGTTTGCAGAAGTATCATAGGGGGAAAATCATCACTCAACATAAAAACACTATAATTTCAGATAGCACTCAGTTTCAATGGAATGGTTGGAGGAATAACTCTTGGACTCTTTTCACTTGGAATGTTCTTCCCTTGGTCTAATTCTAAGGTAAGATATGAATTTTTGGCAGACTATGAGTTTTCAGATATACTAAAACAGTGATAAAAACTTTCATACAAATATGTTTCAATTTGAGATTTGAGATTCTCACATTGGAAAACAAGGACATTGCTTGAAGAAAGTCGTCTTCTGGGTTTAGGCGCCGTGTATTCTTCGTTTTGGCTGACGTTTCGGAGGAACATCGGCCAAAACGAAGAATACACAGTGCCTAAACCCAGAAGACGACTTTCTTCATAGTCATCGCCATGAAAACCTCAAAACTTACAAGGACATTGCTTGCTTATGCTATGCAATCTGGTAGCAGGTACCAGTGTTTCAGTGGAACCTGCTCCTTCCATGTTCAGGTTAGAAGAGGCCTTCTACTCTGAAGAAGGAGGCAGCAGATTCTTCCAAAACAATGGCATATTTCTATCAGTTTACATGGTGCCACATGCTAAAGACAGTAATCTCTACGTTTTAATTTTATTATTGTGATGGTTTTTACCTGAGGGGAACAGAAATTCCCACACATGGATGGTCTCCAAGCAGCTGTAATATTGATTAACACACAGAATCAGGAATGTACAACATATAGGTCAGGCCTAGTCATCAGATGCAAACTGCGGTAGTAGTGAAGTTTAATTGGAGGGTACCATTTGAGCTTGGTGTTACAGCCTTCATATGATATCTGAAGGCAAGTGTAGTGTGGAGGTGTGCTGGAGAGCAGTGATATCATAGCTCCATGTATGAGTTTGTAATATGTCCAAAGAAAACATCCTCTCCCCTTAGTAGGTCTAAGATTCCAAGAACACAATGTTAAGGTTTCATGGTATAGACCTATTCTGATGAATTGCACGCATTGGGGCAGTTTTTAGAAATTCCCTAATAGTTAGGCAGTACCCATACCTTGGCCGCCGATCTAACATTCATTGTGAAGACCATCAGATTCTCAGTGTATGAATTGTCTGGTTACATTTTAGTTGCATCAGTTGTCATTGCTTCTCATACAGATTTTATCAGAATATTTCTTAAAAACATTAATAGTGCACCAATCCCTTGCATTCAGTAATAAATGTTATGTGACATAACACAGACTGTGGCAGTGCAGAGCAAAGTGCCTAATAATCCAACTGAATTTGACTCTGTTTGTTTTCTCTCTGTTTTAAAAATTAGAAAAACGTATCTTTATTCCATTGTAAAGTTAACATATTCTGATTGCAGGGAGCATTGTGTGGGGCTGCCATAGCAACAGGTTTCATTCTGTGGATTGGAATTGGCACACAGATTGCACTGGCCAGTGGGGTAATTACATATGAGGAAAAATTTACCTCAGTGGCAGGCTGTGTATGTACAAATGTGAGTGATGTCTTTAACGCAACACTCCCAGTCATGGAAACCCATGGAACAAAGTAAGTCTAAACTTATTTGATCAAGCAATTAGCCTTAAGTCTGTCTATGGGTTTGATGACCAGGGTTCAATTCCCAGGATGGGAAAACATTTTTCACTTCACTGCAGTATCCAGATTGGCTCTGGGGCCCATCAAGCCTCCCGTTTACTGGGTACTAGGAGCTCTTTCCCTTGAAATAAAGTGCTGGGGTGTGAAGCTGATTACTCACATCCTTCCAGTGCCAAGGTTAAGAATATGAGGAACTAACTAGACCTCTGCTCTTCAAACTTCTTCCTGTCATGAAATTTAGTTAAGCAAAGAGACAACTTTACCTCTTCACGTGTATTTCTAGCCAAATGGAGCACCCAATAAATTCACTCTGTCTGCATGAAAGAACTCAAGAATTGGTGAATGTATTTTTATAAAACATGTTGCGGAGTTTTGATCAAATCTGCTGTCCCATTCGCATGAAACTGCATATACACAGAAACTCACCTGCCCTTAACACTTTCACCCTGAAGGTGGAGGCAGCATTCCTCTCTGAAATGTTGGCAACATTGCCCACATCCACATGCTATAACCTCCCAAGAAAAGAATTAACCACATGAAAGCCTTAAATCAGTGACATGTAACAGTTTTGGTTGAAGCATGATAAACATAACAGATACTTTATATGAAGACCTGCAAGTGTAGCTGGCTACATATTTATTGGAGTGAAACATGCCTGAAACAAATTTAACCTTTAAGTGCCGAAGTGCCCTGTTTGTGCCAGTCATGAGTAAGGTCGTCGTGGCCAAAGTGCCCCGTTTATGCCAGTCAGGCATTTAAACTCCGCTAGTGAAAGTGCGCGCACACGCCACTAGTGGAAGCACATGCACAGTCCTAACTATTTATTTGTAAATGTAGTACTTACTAGACAGACTTGAGTAAAACCCTAATAGAGGAATTAAATTGATACCTAAATGAACAACAGCAAATAAAAATATACGTATGAGTTATGCCAAAACTTATCCACGATCCAGTAATTTTATTGCAGATTCTGCAGATAGGTATGTTAAAAATATATTGTAAAATTCGATATACATACCTTTTATGTTGTTACCTGCTTGATGTATATATAGGCTGAAATTATACTACAGTATTCGATTGCACTACGAACGCACAGAAAACAGATCGCACTCTCTATCTTAGCTACGATGCAGCTGTCAGCTCATTCAAATAGAAGGGGCAATAAACTTTTGCAGCTCTAACGGAAGGTCTTAGCACTGAAGAAGGGACCCCTCTAGCTTTCTCTTGAATAGCCATGCTTTCATTCTTCTGTCCTTCAGTCAAAAGATTCGAAAATCCGAAGAGTGTAAGCAGGGCTAGCAGAAGACCAAATGATTTTATTGCTTCCATTTGCTTTATGACACCAGGGACTGCTAAAATTCGTCAAGTGTTACAAACAGAAATGAATTTATAATGCAGAACAACTCCATGAAGAACTGGGAAACCATTTATGCAGTATGCATCAAAATTAAAACAAAAATTTGAAAATAGAGTATAACACTTTGTATTAAAAATTTCAAATCTTCCGTTATAATATGCAACACTATGTTCTTTCCTGATATAAACAAAGTTAATACCATCCATTTATCATAAAAATTGAGCAAGATACAGCAGTTTTAAATACAACGCTTAAAATTGATTAAGCGCCTAATAGGAACGGACATTTAAACGCAGAGTAGCAATGGGCATTTAAATGCGCACCAGCAGCGGGCATTTAAATAAACTCTGGCTAGCTCAAGCTTACCACTATTTCGAAGTCCGGTGTTTAAAGGTTAAGCACAAAAATGAAGCACACATTCGTGTGAAACATACATTTCCAAATAACAAAGAACTGTTACTCTGTGTGCACGTTTACAAAGTTGTATATTGAACAATCAACAGTGACTTTCGAAAGACATAACGATAACTGAAGTCTCTTATTTGTGACAATTATTAAATGAAGCGTCTTTTCTTCTGATTTTACACGTGTTAATGCTTATAAGTATGTACTTGTTTAAAATATATTAAACATGCTGTCAGTTTCTTTATTCTCAGTCATAATAGGTTATTCTATATAAAAATTCATTCTGTACAACATGTTTGTTAAGTGTACACTGTATAATGTTACAATTTCATTTCAATGGAAGACACTGAATTTCACTTGAAATTATGCATGTAAGTGACAGAACAGTTACCTCTGGCAGAATTTCCAAGCTGCAGCTGTCATGTCATACTAGCCAAGGACTCACTCATTCTTTATGGTTTATTCAATGGCACTGTCAGTATGTTAGACTAAATGGCACTGAATTGTATGTTGACTTGTTTGAATGATGAATTGGGAAATATGTGGAAGGAAGTGGTTTGGGCTTAATATTTGGCACAAACTCAGCATTTGCCTGGAGCTACACAGGAAAACCACAAAATCTGCAATCAGAATAGTGTCCCAACCAAAATTTGAAGTGGGAAACACCCCACGTGTCAGAAATTTTTACCACTTGGCTGTACTTATGATTATGTTGTCTGTTAAGGTGGTGGATACAGCTGTACAAGTTGTCTTACTTGTGGTACTCCTTGCTTGGCTTCCTGTTCACGATTATTGTGGGCTTGACAGTCAGCATTTTAACTGGATCATTAGAAACATGTCATCTGGATGAAGATCTCATGTCACCACCTGTCAGAAGATGGCTGGAATCACTGCCAAGCAACATCAAGCAATTTCTCAGACTGTCAGAGGAGGTAACAGACTATGTCAGCCCTTTCCCTGTCAGTTGGCTGTGTTAGGTCTCACCTAATTGGTGACTCTGTGTGCACATGTACTCTTAATTTTTAACTAATTTATTATCTTTAATGTTCTCAATTTCTCATAGCTTATTCTTGTCTGTAACCTACAACAAGCTTTTTGCATCACAGAATTTTTCCTTCCATAATAGGTTCATTGCAACTGAAGGAAAGGTCTTCATTAAATCACTTATTTTCTGGTTATGGCCCACATGTTTTGAACAAAGTGACCCATAGGAAAACTTTCTGTCCATCGATGACCTGGTATGGGTGGTTCTCTCAGAGAATGGTTTTTGATTGTGAAGAGTATGGTCTTGTGGGGTGTAACACCATGTAGTTCAGAGACAGCCTGATATTTTGGAGGAATTACTGCCTACATCCTCTGCGTCAAAGAATTGGCCAGGCAAGAAATGAGCAGAATCAGACAGCAAGCCTGTTGGTTTCTTGCATGGCTTACCTTTCAGTCTGAAAGTTGGAGGTGATATGTTCCTCCAAAATGTAAAGCTCTGCTTGGCATAAGCATTAAGTTTAAATGAAATTGAAGAAAATTTTGATAAGTACAGATAATAGCAAAAGAACTATTTTAGGTTATTTAAATTTTATTTTTATGTGGTGAACTGTTTAAGTACCTTTTGAACACATCATATAGCCTGAATGTGTGTTATATCTGGAAAATGATGGAATAACAACAAAAGCGGTTAAAATGGTTGCACAAAATAAGTAAATGTGAAGTTTAATTTAAAATTAGGCTGTGAGAGACTATACCTGTGCTAGGGATACTAGATGTGTCAGTTGGCAACATGCAATGCAGTTGGAGACATTATCTACAGCATATGGCAATGCATGGCTAAGATACTTAAAATCCAAAGATTTCCAAGTTCTTAGCAATTCTGACTATACTCCAGATACAAACGCAGTTTACATTACAAATACTAGTTCTGCTTAGCCCAAAACTGATGATAAATGTGGTCTTTCTTCAGCCATTGTAAGAAATTGCTTTCACTTATTATCACAAATTTCAATGTAACAAAATACAGCAGCTAGGTTTAGTCTTTTCTGCAAACATGTATCTAGTGGGGAATCTATATGTATGGGGATCTTAAAGCAGTGTGATAAGGGTGTCTATGATTGGTTGGTACTCTTAATTAGTTGACTCTGAAGTAGCAAAAATTGTTGGACTCCTGTTAAGCTTAGGTGAAGCTGTTTTCTTTATATGTAATTTCTATTTTCACTAGCTTCCCTGATTACTCTAATTATTAGTGTTGGCTGTAACTTTTATTTTATCAAAATCAGTGCTGTGTTTAGTTCCCGTGGAGTGCTCTATTTCCTAATTGATGTGAGTAATATTCTCAATAATTTGTATTAGCCAATCTATTCAGTACTGCTACCTGTGATGACAGTTCTTCGGATTCTTCATAAACTTTAAACAGGGTGATACAGAGAAAACAAATGGCATTATAGGTTGAGGTTTTCATGGCAAAGAAAATTCATATTGCAGTTGTCTGGATTAAGATACCATGTTGTTTGGTAGGTTACTACCAGTATTTTGGAAGATCCGTCTCCATCTTCACAATGTCTTGTTTGTAGTGGTTTTTATTTAAAAATGCTGAAGAATTTTAGACTGTTATAGCATTGAGTGACTAGATGGTAGTGAACAATGAATTTGAAAGGATTTGGAAGAACTGATAAAAAGAGCATATAAACTCTCAATCAGGATAATCAGTGTCTTGGATATGATTCAAACCAGTTGTCTCCTGAATACAAGTTACATGTCATCAATTTAGCCCAACTTACTAATTGACTTACGGTGTCATACCTCTATCCGTATCTTTATTTTAATTCCATAGATCCTTACTGGCTACCAAAGCCATCAGATACAGAACATGTCCATATGCAGACATTAGTTATAAACACAGAACTAGTCACCTTATAACTATATTCATAATAGAAACAATAATTATATATAATTCAGTAATTTAACAAGCATATAGGACTCATCAACTTGAAGGTAATACCTTATTATGATCATAGCTTAAATATAGAAACAAATATCAGATTATTATCAATTAATGTATACAATTTACTATATAAAGAGCATTATACGAGTAAAAGGTTAATTCATCTTGTATTTCAAATATTTGTCTAATATATAAAATGAATGGAAATAACAACAAATTTTTCAAGGCTGATTTAAATTGTTTTGTATTATGGGACAAATTCTTTATTGGAACAGGCAAACTGTTAAACCCAGAAGAAAATAGGACCTTCTTTAGGTGAATCAAGAAACAAGAACTCTTGATATAAGGAGTAAGATTTACAAAATATCAGCTTATGTGGCTAACTTATATTTTACATAGAGGCTGATATACCAGTGCTATGTCAACCAGGCATGTAAGGGACACCAAAGAGGAAAACCAGAAGAAAGTAATCATTGAGCTCTCCATAGGAAAGGAACATAGCATTAACTTTGATAAACACAAGTATAGCCACCATCCACAACTACCACCTCTTCATTATCAAGGAAAACAAAAAATTAGTTAAACATTCAGAGATCAGCAACACAGAAAATGTGTAAGAACTCAGGAATGTGTAGAGCCTATGAAGGGCATTTTCTCTTTTGGGATGTAAAACCATATATTCTAGTAGAAGTTCATGACCTTTTGGAGGAATATGCTCTCCTATCATTGAGGGTCAGAAAGTAAGTGCAGCAAGCCATGCAGCAAAACCTGGTTCAAAAATAGGTCTGTGAATGAGCTCTGAGTGAACCAGTAGGAGTAAAGAGAGGAGTAATATGAATCCATGAGGTTCCATTACTAATAATCACCTTCTGACTGGCTAGTTTGTGGGTCAAGACACTACCCAGTCATCGATCATCTAATTCCCCTTTCAGAGACCTTTGTATACTAAGCCATGAGCAAATCTTGATGCCCGCCCTGATGGTGATAACTGTAATGGTCAATTAGATAAGTCTCAGAGTTCTTTTATGAAGGTGTATTAGTAAAGTGACGTATTTTGGATATTTCTATTGTCTCATTTTGGTTAAAGAAATGCAATGTTTCTCTCCAAGGATGGTGATTAGCTCCATCTTATGAACCCAGCAGACAGGTTTCATACTTTAACCTGATGATGGAAGCAGAGCCAGCTTTCAAGACTTTTCATTCATTTAACCAAAATAGACAATGTATCATGCCCAGTATATGGTTCAGTTCAATCACTGTTTGGGTATGGTTAAAAACTAAGGCATAACTGAAGCTCATAAATCAATATTGTGAATTACACACAGCACCAAAGCCATCAAGGACCATTAAATAATTGTTGCAAATTCGTCAATTTTTTCAGTTACTACTGACAACACAATGGTAAAAATTTGGCCAAAATCTACCAGATAATTCCAAATTAATCGACAATCATAATAACATGTTTAGAGTTCAAACTCCTGATTTTCTTAATAAATTCTTTGCCATTTTTTCAATTAATATTTTGTTTAATCTTAAGTATTATTATAACACAATGTATATATTTTTACAGACCAAAGAGAGTACGGCACTGGAGAAGACTGAAATAAAACAAGCTTCCTACAAATCAGTGGATTTCACTGGTATACAGAATCACAGTTTCATCCTTGAAGATGAATATCAAACTGGAGGAATTAAGACTGACATAAAAGTTTGACATTATCTTACCTTCATGTCACATCTGTTCAGTTTCAAGTTGCCATACCATATTGACTAGCTGAGTTTTAGATAGTTGAACAAATTAACTATTCAAGTATTGTGATAAACTGTACAGAAGACAGATGCCAGTTTGTAGATACCGTGATAGAGTTATATTTAAGATTCAGTATTTTTTACCACGAAAATTTGATTTGTGTGTGTACATATGTGTATGTGTGGGAGATGTAACTGAGCTTCTCCTCACAAAGAAATAGATTTGTTACACATCTGGTAACATGCTGATGTTAGAGGCAATGTTTGATAGCAGGACAAAATGCTCAGTACCTACGGACAGGTCAGAGAAAGAATGAAGACAGAGATTCTCCCCCACCCGCCTTCCTAGCAGGTACCTTCCCCGAGTGCTTTGCCTCATTCCAAAAAATTGTGGCTTTTGTTCCATCTTCAGTCTCTCCCCCTTCCCATCCGTTTGTTATTGAGATCTAGATCTGATATGAATTTTTGATCACATTTTGTGACTTTGTTTTATTAATCATTATGTTGTCTGTAATGTCTCATTTTTCATATAGTGTCAAATGGTACTGACAGATAAATGAATTGGAAAGAATTTGGAAGGGAGTAGTCATGCCCCAATCAAAGTATTATCCCTGCACTTCTCTGGAGGGACTGAGGAAAACCTTGATAAACCTCACCCAAAATATCCAGTGTCCTGGTTGAGATTCAAACTGAACATCCCCTTAAAACCTGTCAGAGCGTTACCTCTAGACCAGCCTGCCTGACATAATGTCTTCTTGTAAATTTCTGTTTGTTAGTATTTTACTTCCTCAGTATTTAAACCCTTGATTTTCTTTATTTCATTATTATTATTATTATTATTATTATTATTATTGTTGTTATTATTATTATAATATTTTATCTTTTCCTTGTCCCTGTCTTCCAGCTTAATTATGTAACTATACACTCAGGTATAAGCACATTACTTCCTGCCATTGTTGGCACAGTTCTTTGCTTCTGTCCTCAGGGGATGATTGCATTCAGCAATTCAGAATGACAGAATGCACTAACTTAATCAATGGTGGATTATTTTGCTGATGTACCTAATCCTGGCATTATAAGGATGAAAATTAACCTGGAGCAGCATTTAGGCTTGTGCCAGACCTGCAAAGAAGGATACTATTATCCTGTCACTTTGTGTTCCATTCTTTTGCTTTCAAAGTATGCTCAACTTAAATTAGCGAAGTACTAAAATGAGGAATACTCTCGAGATTCTGAGTTCATAGTGACATTAAACTCACTGACATCTATCATGGTCTTTGGAGTTTTTATACATAAACAAATACATTGTTATTGTAAATACACTGTGCACTCATGTTACAGAATTTTGCTCTCATGTCTATTAAGACATGACCATATACAGGCCATAAAGTCACCATTATGGAAATTTGAGATAGATATTACAAATAATTTAAACACAAAATGCAAAACAGTATCAAACTCATTCATGCAAAAGCAGGGTACATGTTATGAAATTTCACAATATGGACACATTTTCAAGAATGCATTCCTTTTGTAATGCAGGGGCCTGCCACATGGTTTTGGAGCCAAACTTACTGCTACAGGCAGTGTAATGTGTATATGGACATATATGTTTTTATATAATTTTGTAGTTTAATATTAACGTTTTTTATTGTTTTTAGAAAGCAAAATATGCTAAATATGTTAATGCGTTATATTTGAGATTTTCTTCTACCTGAAGATAAAGGCAGTAGGTTCCTCCTAAACATTGGCACTAATCTACCTGAAAGATGCAATCAAAGTATTTGTTATAATTTTATTCTTATGCGTAGGGAAAAGTTGAGATGAAAATGTAGTCCTACATATCACGAGTATTTATGAATAAAGGATGTTAAAATAACAACAAAAAATGTTACAGTTCATTGTATCATTAAAGTTACAGCGCTCAACATAAAAAAGTCTGTCATGGCTTAATACTGACTTTATCTTCATATAATATACTGTAAAAAAATCATATCTGAGTTTCACAAGTTCAGGTACTTAATATTGTCACGTACATGTGTGTAACTCGATTGGTGACTTGATTTATTGACAACTTATACACTCATGACTTTACACTTTACAGATCACTGACTCATACAGACTACTGTCCTCAGTATATTAGTCTCCACTAGCCATTCCCTGGCAACGGATTTTAACAGAGGAACTATAACAGTTTCCCTGAATTACTCTAAATGTCACACATAAATTCTTCTTTCCACAGTCAAACTTTCAACTGAGCACTTTTGCAACTAACTCTTGGTCATTTTACACCAACCTCTTAGTCTTCCCTTCAACGCCTGACTATCAACTGACCAAAGTCAAAGTCACATTGCGACTGACGGTCGGTCAGTCAGTCAGTCAGTCAGTCAGTCAGTCAGTAACTCTTGGTGTCAAGCCCCATTTGAGTCTCATGACCAGATATTAATTATTATCGTTTGACAGTTACGGTCTTGTTTCTGTGGGGCGCCTTCTCTGATGAGAGGACGGGTCTGTCTTTTGCATATGCTGCTGGCTCTTGCCAGTGCAGTCTTACTCGGGTCCGAGTCCCTTGGGACTCGCGACTGTATTTTACTGTCTCAGAATTGAGACTTCCCTTTTCCTCGCCTCCTACGACTCACAGTGACCAAGCTCTAAAACTTGTCTCGCTTATAACCCCTTGGCACAGATTGCACAGAAAACACTGCTCTTCTGTTGCTGTACCATTGTTGTGCTCATGTCAGTTGATGTGGGAATGTGTTTACGGAGCCATTGCCTAGAAATGGGTCTGGTATATCTATCTCGCGGCCATTACATAGCAACAGCTCTACAAGCTACAATGTACTGAAACTGGGATGACCGGGTATCTGACTCGATAAATATACAAATAACTAGCATAAATATTATTATACATAGGTCATACTGAAAGTCATGAGCAACAATTTTTTGTAAAGTAACATGCTTTATTATTGACAAACCAAATACACCACCTCAATCTACAGACCTTTCTTTATTTTTCTACATAATCGCCACTTCTTTGTACACATTTCTCCCAGCGTTCTGGGAGTTTGAAAATTCCCCTTCTGTAAAATTCCGTTCCAGCCATCTGAAGACACTGATGCACTGCTTTCTGAATTCAGCGTGCTTATGGAAGTGTGTGCATGGGTGCGAGCAGTGTTCGAAGATGGGTGAAACATTTTAAAGATGGGAATACCAGCATCGAAGATGAGCCTCGGAGTGGTTGTCCTCGAACAGCCTCAACTGAGCACAACAAGGAAAGAGTGGATGGATGAGATAATTCAAGATGACAGGCATGTGACTGTGGACACAATAACCCAAAAGCTTGGAATAGGGCACAGTGCAGTACATGAGATGATTGAAAGCTTGGGCTATAGGAAAGTTTGTGCTCGTTGGGTCCCGCGGTTATTGACCGAAGACCATAAAGGTCACATTGGAAGCAATTGCAAAGATGGGGTGGGAAGTTCTTCCACACCCCTCCTATAGCCCTGATCTGGCATCCTCCAATTACCATCTTTTCGGATTTGGGAAGGATCAGCTGCATGGACGTTTTGAGACAAGGGAGGCAATTCAGAAAGCAGTGCATCAGTGTCTTCGGATGGCTGGAATGGAATTTTACAGAAGGGGAATTTTCGAACTCCCAGAATGCTGGAAGAAATGTGTACAAAGAAGTGGAGATTATGTGGAAAAATAAAGAAAGGTCTGTGGATTGAGGTGGTGTATTTGGTTTGTCAACAATAAAGCATGTTACTTTACAAAAAATTGTTGCTCATGACTTTCAGTACGACCCTTGTATTATATATAAGTGGCATAAAGCATACTTAAATTTCAGTATAAAATTGTTAAAAAGTAACTTCATTAAAAGCACCTAACCTCAATAATTTAAAGTCACAGGGTAACAGTTACATTTATACTGACATTAAAATGTATACAATAACAATATGCACCAAATGATCTGCTATTACATCATTCTTTTTGTAAATTTGTATAAAAAACAAACTCTGTGAAAAATAGTTAACCTTTCGTATGCTTCAGGAGTCAGGATAGCTTTGTCAGTGTACAACATGTCCATACCTTGCCAAAAGGCTATCAATTTAGAATGTAGATTTATTTTAGTTGAGTGAAACAAATTCCATCTTCTGCATAGCAGATTCCACAGGTACTCAACCAGACCTCTATTTTGTCATAGCTACTAAATGATGGTGGTCTGTCATTCTAATCATTATGAAAAGATGCACTGTCCACACAGTAGCAGTGTTAACAGGGAGACTGGGTATCAGCTTCTGCTCAAATCATGTGATATAAAGAAAAGCAAACATATTGTGATGTGTATACCCATTGCCAGGCAACGACTCGGTTGTCAGTTTTGTTTTATTCTACAGTTGCTTCACCATTCCAGTTCTTTTAGTTTTTGGACCTGTATACTGTTACTTTCGACACTGCTAAGTATAGTTTTTTGTATATTGTGTTTCATATAATTTTCTGTCAATGAGGTAGTTGAAAGTTAGTCCCCCCCCTCCAACTGTTGGTGGTACTGCATGTTCAGTTTCTAATACATCACTGTATGGTTGGAAATGTTCCTGTCATAATGTGGGAGCATGTGTTGCACTGTGTTGAATCTCAAAAGGAATCTTTTTACTGGTGATCCATATATCACGCTTCCATATACTGTAAACTGTGAATTAGTGAGATTTATATTATTCTCACTGTGGAAGGCTAGCTGCCCTTCCCTCCAGCTGCTTTTATCACTCTGAGTAATATTGCAGTATGTTTGTTGCATTTGTTCAGAATACACATATTGTGGTGCTTCCACTTTTGTTTTGCATCTGTTAATGTTCCCTGATATTTCAGTATTTGTTTTTTGGAATTCTATTGTTAGTATAATAGCATCTATGAACTGCAGTAATATCCATCTTTTGTTGGTGAGAATGGAATATACTTGTTGGATGAATATGTAATCCTATATTATGTAGTGACATTAAGGGAGGAACCTAGACTGAGGGTGTTTGAGAACAGGGTGCTGAGGAGAATATTTGGACCAAAGAGTGATGAAGTGACAGGAGATTGGAGGAAAATGCATAATCAGGAGCTTCATAACTTGTACTTTTCGCCAATTATAATTAGAATGATCACGTCAGAGAGGATGAGATGACCAGGGCATGTAGCACGATGGGGGAGAAGCAGTATGTATATAGGATATTGGTAGAAAATCTAGAAGGAAAGAGATCACTAGGTAGACAAAAATGTAGGTGGATGAACAATATTAAAATAGATCTTAGATAGGGGCATGCCGTAGCATAGTTGGTTGAGGCACTATGCTACAAGCCAGAAGGTCACGGGAACGACTCCTGATGAGGTGGATTTTTTCAATTTACCTAATCCTTCCAGCCACACTATGGCCCTGGGGTCGACTCAGCCTCTAACAGAAGTGAGTACTAGGAATATTCTTTGGGGTAAAGAGCGGCCAGCGCGTAAGGCTGACAACCTTACCGCCATCTATGATCCGACTCTCTAGAAAATGAGGGAACCTCAACATCTCAGAACCCTATGGGACTCCATGGCCTGTTACAGGGATATCTTTACTTTTACTTAGAGAGATAGGATGGGGTGGTATACACTGGTTTGATCTGGCTCAGGATAGGGACCAGTGGCGGGCTCTTGTGTACATGGTAACGAAACTTTGGGTTTCATAAAATTTTGGGAAGTTCTTCAGTAGCTGCACAACTGGTGGCTTCTCAAGAATAGCTCAGCTCCACGAAGTTAGTTATATTATGGAGTTCTCAGTAGAGCATCTTGGAGAATGAGTTACTCCTCTTTAAAGATGATGAAACCAGTGTCGATCTTGAATCTAGCTACGCCCTCAGTAGGCATATCTCTTGTTGTCCAAGTACCAAGTTTGGGGTTTGAATCCATTCAAAAACTCAGGCTCTGTTTGCCATAGCAGACATCACACTAGACTTCTGACTTGTACGCTTCGGTCAGACTCCTTGCCAGTTGATTTACATATTTTGCACTTGCTTGACATACTTCGCGAGTGATTAGTGAACTTCAGTAGATCATCGGGTGTTACGCTCTGTTTTATATAAATGACTTGCCAAAAATAATTAATAAAAATAATAACATGGTATTATTTGCAGATGACACCAGTGTTATAGTAACTGGCACGAACAAATTGTACTTTGATATGAACCTTAATCAAACTTTAAAGATATTAATTCATGGTTTCATGCTAATTTGCTCACTTTGAATTTTAATAAATCTCAATATGTTGAATTTTGTTCCGTGAATCATTATAATATTACCACACAAATTACTTATGATCAGACTAATTTAACCAATGTGATGGATACAAAATTTTTAGGCTTAATCATTGATGATACTCTCACATGGAAACAGCATATTGATTATGTTATCAATAAAATTTCCGGTGCATGTTATGCACTGAGAAATATAAAATACTTTATCCCTCCACATACATTAAAGTTAATTTATTTTGCCCACATTCATTCTATTTTGAGCTATGGTATAATTTTTTGGGGAGGCTCTTCCTGCGCCAACAATGTTTTTATATTGCAAAAGATGGCTATTAGAATTATTACAAATTCTGGTCCAAGTGAGTCTTGTAGGGATTTATTCAAGAACCTGGAGATAATGACGTTTTATTTTCAGTTCATATACTCATTAATTTTATTTACAATTAATAATAAACATTTTTTTTCAATTCTATTAATGAGATTCACAAATGTAAAACTAGATCCCTAAATAATCTTTACTTACCTACTGTCAACCTATCAAAATACAGGAAAGGTGTGTATGTAGGAGGCATTAAAGCCTTTAATCATCTACCTCAAGCAATAAAAATGTTGGCGTCTGATCTGTTAAACATTAAAGCAGCACTGAAGAGATTTTTATTTTATCACTCTTTTTACTATATGAAGGAGTACTATCAGCATAACTGGTAATACTATGTAAATTATAATAGAGCTAGCTCAGTAATTATTTGTAATATATTCTTAGTTCAAATATGCATATGAAGGAATATTATCAGCATAACTGGTCATAATATGTAAATTATAACAGAGCTAGCTCAGTAATTATCAGTAATTATTTGTAATATATTTTCAATTTATATATGCAGTTGTCCTATCTAAAATAATTATGGCTCATATTTTATTTAATCTTACCAATGTGATCTACAAACTTACAGTCAAATTTTAATAATCCAGATCTGTTTGTCATTAATTGATAATCATAACAAAGATGGCTGCTGATGGTACAATTTTAAACATGTATTGAAGAGGCTGTTACACCTCTCTCACTTGTATGAACATTTAACATAGGACTGGTCATAAATGTATGACGTCGGAAGACGCCTAACTGGTAATTTAAGTGATTATATGAAATTGTGACTATGTTTTTATAGCAAGTTATTTAATTCATGTTTTAATTGAATTTTTATTTATTTATTTATTATTATTATTAGATGCAAATTTATGAAGTAATAAGTCTGCCTATCTGCAACCTGCAAAACTGATGTTAACCTATTGTTGCAAATAATGGACTCATACAATTTTGTACATGTATTTTGAAGATTATTTTGATATGTACTTTAAGGACCATTTCCACATCCTGGTTATATACTGTGCGGATCTATGGAAAATAAATAAAATGAATGAATGAATGGCCACCGTTATTCCAATGTGTAACTCACACATGGCATTTCAACATAAGGAATAATGCAAACAATAAAATACAGTATCAGAGGCTCATGAATACAACTGGCTACCATCTAACATATAAGCTTGTTTCATGGTAACTGTTCAATAATTTATTTGGGTGATACTAAAGAATAATTCTGTTGTCAAGTCTGTGATCAGTAGGCCAAGCTGATATGAGAAGCAACTGGGTATACTAAGGATGGTTCTGGAGAAGTGGAAAATGTATGATATAAAATCTATTTACAAGGATCACAATTGTGACAGTTAATGAGGAACTGTCATATTAAGGCTGGAAATTTGGAAAACTTGTATAATTTATGCATAAAAATGCTTTACTTCTGCAACGTGCCAACACCTTAGTCCTAAAAGATTATGTATGTAATCCTACCGATGTAGCACACATTACATTTCATATATTCTTCCAGCTTTCAGAACTTTATGTAGTTCTAATTCTTGGGTGATGGCATTGTGACTGAACAGTGGTCTAACGCAGGTTTTCGGTTCGTCAATCTAAAGACAGATACAAGCAACTTCTCCGAAATGTCGGAAAACTAGCCCACCACAACACAGG